AGCGAGCGGCAGCCGAAGCCATTGGCGTCGCCCCATCATCGGGGAACCTCTCGCCCATCGTCTGCGTCGGCTTTGAACGGGGAGAGGGAGGAAAGAGTTCGTCAGCGGTGGCTGTGCACGGGGAGAGAGGGGCTACGGGCGGGTGTGTCCTCCGGCGGGGGAGATGCTGCTTATATAGTGGCAGGGGGAGGGGGCGGCGGCGTTGTGTGTACACGTGGCGCGAGGGGGCGCGTCGCCGCACCGTGCCGGCCCGTGGCGAATCAATGGAAGGTTGACCGGCGTCAGCCTTGGCATTGATTCCCTGTGGGAAACCGAGGCATTGTGAGGACGACGAGGCAGGGATCGCTGACTCGGCGGGCCCGCTATTCGCTCATGCCAAAAACGATAGCCCCGGTGCCCCCGAGCGCTCCCAGCATGCCGGGTTTGTCCTGGGTCCGCCGGCACCAATTACGGGCCTAAGAGCAACTCCAACGGGCCGACCCAAACGGACGACGCATTTGTCCGCTTTATGTCCGTTTAGGTCGGCCGCCCGCCTGGCGTCCGCCCTGTTTTGCATTTAGGTCGGTAGTGCGCCCAACGCGCTGACCCATTTTTATGTCCGCACTCAATTTTTAAAAAAGGCCTGCGGCCATAGATCATGCCAGGGGCCATGTCTCATGCCGACACCATGCGAGCGCCGGCATACATTGTTGGCTTCAAAAAATATCACCACACAGTTCATGCTGGCGCACTCGCCAGCGGCCGGCACATATGCCAGCACACAAAATGGGTGGGACTTGAGTTCGACCACGCCATCACGACCCCGTGGTCATGCCAGCGCACAAGTCGACATACAAAAAAGAAGGCGCTCGCGGCCATGAGATCACTCGTCAGTGAACTTGAGCTTATCGGCCTGCATTTTCTCGAACCACGGCCTCTTCCTTGGCGACACGGTGTTGAGATCCACCTTCATGATCTCCATCCCGGTCGTCATGCTTGCGAGAGCCACTTCTCTGGCCTTGGTCTTGGCATTGGCGGCCTGGATCTCAAGCATCTTGGCTTGCTTCTCCGCCTCCAACTCAAGCATCTTCGCTTGCTTCTCCGCGTCCATCTTTAGCCTCCTCCTTTGGATCTCCATGAAGGCGTTCATTTGCTCCTCTTTGAAACGCCGACGCTCCTCCTCTCTTGGGTCCTTCTTGTTCATCATGCCCTCCACGCTTGCGATCAAGGCGTTCAATGCCGCATCCCGCTTGTCCTCCTTCTTGGACTTGGTCTTCCCCCGCGGCCGAGCCGACTCGCCATCCCCAGCCTCCTCCACGTCTTCCTTCCCCCTGCGCGACTTGAGGGCGGCATATTGCACCTTGAACTTCTCCTCGTCTTTGATGACCCTATAGCAATGGGAGAGGTTGAAGCACTTCCCGTTGTGTTGGACCTTGAATGCCTCCAAAGCTTGAAATGCCTACAAATGTTTTCATGCAAGCATGTTGGCACAAATGGTATGCAAATGAACACGCAAGCATGAACTTGATGACACAAAAGAGGGCGGCTTGCTACCATACCATGTCTTGCACGTCGATGCCGCTCACGGGGTGGGCCTTGACGCTCTCAAGAGTGGCACAAAACTTGTTGCACTCTTGTTGGATCACTCTCTATCGCTCCGAGATGAACACCCACCCACGTGTGCTCACAATTTGGTAAGGAGGAAACTTCTAGCGCTCATGAAACTCCCGGTGGGCACGAATCCAAAAAGTTGAATGCTTTTGTTTGGCGCCGGTCTTGGGGTATTGTCCAATGTCTCTCCAACACTCGCAAAGAAGCCTGTGCTCGACGCCGTGTATGACTTCGTGCGCTTGCTCTTGCACTTCGGCTTCGGCCCGGCGGCTTGGTTGGCGAGCTCGTCCTCAAACAAAGGCTCCACTTCGATGTCGCACTCGTCTTCTTTCTCTTGACCGTAGTCGTCCGAAAACTCGTGGTCAAGTGGGAAGCCGTCTAGGTCCATGCCGACCTAATCACGCATGAAGGCCGACTGATCATAGCCAGCGCCCGACATGAACACCCCGCGGCCGTCCTCGCTTTGTGTCTCGTCGGGGTCGTAGCCAGTAGCCGGCGCACCGTCCTCGAAGATGAGGTTCTTCATGTAGTCCTTGTCGTCGGCGACCGGCATTTAGTCGAACAGGTTGCGGGCGTCCGGTAGCACGTCGACTGGCATCTGGCGCGCATGTTTCCTCACGCCTCCGGATGACGAGCCACCGGCTACCGGTGTGGTGTTGAGGTCGATGGGCGCGGGCGCGGGCGTGGAAGGCGCCACCACGCTCACGTTGGACGAGCACTCCCCGAAGAAGCGGGAGGCCCGCGGGTACATGTGGAAGTCGGGTATCGGGGTGCAAGCCGATGCACGGGGTGAGTCGGGCAGCACCATCCGAGGGAATGCAGACGACCCGGTGCTGGCCGCGGCGGCCACGGCGGCGTTGACGAGGCCGTGCTGGCTAGGGTTTAACTCTAGCATATAGAACGCCTCCCTCATTTCCGCCGCGACGCGGGCGTTGGTGACCTCCTGCTGCGCGGTGGCGGCGACGGCGGCAGCCACGACGGCTTCACCCCTCGCGTCCGCGGTGTGCCTCCGACTCTTCCTCTTGGTCGACTCCGCCGCCCGCTGTTCAGGCGTCAGCGTCTTCTTTGGCTTGGTTGCATCAGCGGTCCTCGCCGGGCACGAGGCTTGCCTTTACCGAAGGGGGCGGTCTTCATGCCGGACGAGGCGAGGGAGGCAAGGCCAGCGGTGGCATCGAGGTCGAGGTCATTGTCCATGGCGGGTATGGGGCGGGAGCGCGCGCGGGCGGGAGGGTTTTGGGGAAAATGGGGGAAATGATGCTTGCTGCCACCGACCGCCGGGCCCGGGGAGAGGAGTAGGCGTGCACACGTTCATCTCGTGTCCACGCCGACGCAAATTCGGCTAAAAAATGGGCCAAGAATGGGTCGCCCGCGGACAAAAAGCAGACGCGCGTCCGTTTGGGTTGGCGCGTTAGGCCGTCTTTTATGTCCGTGCCGACCCAAACGGACGGCGGCGAACGAAATGGGTCGCCCCGTTGGAGTTGCTCTAACCGGCGAAAACCGAGCTCTCGGGCCCCTGGGGCGCGGCTGGAGTTGCTCTTAGGCCAACTCCACCGCACGACCCCATCCTGTCCGCGCGCGTTCGTTTGGGATAAAACGGACGAACTAGACGACCTAGCGCGCGGGAACAAACATACTTTTGTCCGTTTTGTGTCCGCTTCCGACCCATCCCCGACCCAAGTTTGCGCCAATTTTTGGGTGAAATGGACAGCGCGCGGACAGGCGGGACGCGCGCGCTTGTCCGCCCCTGGCCGGCCTGTCGGTCGCACAAAGCAACCCCCCCCCCCGCACCCCATTTGGTGCCATTCCCCCAAACCCTCCCACGTCCCGCCGCCTCCTCCCTCCCCCGTCCATGGCCGACGCCCAGCCGAATTCCGGCGGCCTGGCCGTCAACCCGCCCGGAATGGTCAAGAAGAAGAAGGCCAAGGCGCCAAGGAAGCCGCGGTCGAAGTGCACGCCGGAGGAGATCGCCAAGTTGGACGCAGAATCGGCGAAGAGGAGGAACCGGGGGGCGGTCGTCAAGGACAATGCCACCGCGCCCAAGTTTGCCGCCGAGCGCGACGCGATGGAGGCCGGCGCTGCGCAAGGCCGAGGTCAAGGAGAAGGAGGCCATCGTCAACAAAGCGCACGCCCTCCTCATGCTTGGCATTTGTCGTCCGGCAGGTTTCTCTGTAGCGGCCGTCGGCCCGGCGAGCACATGCTCGTCGGTCGCCCGGCCTCCGCACTGCCAGTCGCCGGCGTCGCGGACCACGCCTATGTCGCCCGACTTTCCCCCGCCAAGGCACGACGGCCAGACCCGTTTCTCGGGGTCGCCGGACGTGGGCGTGATCATGCCGTCCACCCGGAGTCCCTGGGTCCAGCAGCGGCGGCCGGCTGTCCGTCGAGATGCAAAGAAAGCAAGCACGACCGTCGTTTACGGGCACCATGCCGTCCCCCCGCGTCTTGTTCAACGGAACTCCAAGGTGGACGACATACGTGATGCCTTATCCATGGCCTTGCATGAGACTTTGCATGTCATGATGTCTCAAAAGGACGTGAGGGACGAGAAGAAGCGGCAAAGTAAGGACGAGCAAATGAAGCAATACCTAGAGTTTCAAAGGAAGAAACTTGAGATGGAGGAGGCGGCCAAGAATAGGAAGATCGACATGGAGGAGGCAGCTCGGCAAAGGCAGCTCGACATCGAGGCCGCCAATGTCAAGGCCAGGCAGAGGCAGCTCGACATCGAGGCCACCAATGCCGCAACGAAAGCGAAGGAAGTGGCCCTTGCGATCATGAGCGTGGACTTGACCAAGATGAACGAGAAGACGAGGAGCTGGTTTAAGGCCAGCCAGAAGGAGATGTTCGACGCCGATGGCCTGAATTAGGTTGTCCGATCTGCCGTGGCCGTTCTTTTTGTAGGCTGGCATGGGTGCCGCCCGCTGGGCCGCTGGCTGTGTGCCGGCGAGAAACAGTTTATTTTGGAGGCTGGCTGTGTTGCCGGCCGTTGGCTGTGTTGCCAGTGAACAAAACTATTCATTTTGGAGGCTGGCTGTGTTGCAGGCGAGGGCGTGTAGGCCGCTGGCTTTGTTGCCGGCGTGAACTAGGGCCGCTGGCGTGAAATAGGGCCATTGGTATTTGAAACGTTGTTCTCTTTGGAGGCGGACAAGACGAAACCAAGCGGGATCCCAGGACACGCCCGGACACGACCCCATCGTCCTAATCAAACGGACCGAATTCGGATAAAACGGAAGTCCGTCTGGGGTCGCGTGGTGGAATTGGCCTTAGGCGCGGAACAACGCAACACCAAAATTCCCGCACCAGCTGGCAGCGCAGCGTGTCCGCGTCTAGGGTTGTAGCCTCCACCCACCGAAGCACCGAACCGTTCTTGCACCACCGCGACGGCGCTGCTCGGCGACGCTCTGCGGCAGGCCATCATGCCGCGGGGTGAGTACGAGGCGCTGCGGGACGAGGAGCGCGCGCTGCCGCTAGCAGCGGCGGCTGCCGCCTGCGTCGCCTTCGCTACCGTTGCCGCGGTGGGGATCAGCCTCGGGATCGTGTTTCCCGCCGAGCCCGCGGACCGGCCCTTCTGCCGGGAGCGCCGCATGCTGGAGGCGCTCCCGGCAGCTGCTAGCAGCCGGGAGGAGGAGCCCGAGGCGTATCGGTACCGAGGCGGGGCTTTCTACATGACCACGGCCGAGGCTGCCGACTTCTACTGGATGGTCGTCTTGGTGCCATCCGCTGTCCTCTTCGCCGCATCCGCCGCTTACCTCGTATCAGGTGAGTCAGTGCTCGTGCTGTTTGTCGTAATGCTCAGATTTAGCTGTTTACAGTGTTAATTTTCTTACCCGGTTATCTGTATTTGACGATTGGTGATCCCACTGCTTCACCGCTCTTTAGGAATTCCAAAAATCATGAAACACCTCCCGTATTGGAGATTGTGTTGTTGCATGCGAACGATTTTAGTGGTAAAACGAGGTATCTCTGGAACTCTGGATGCAGTGGCGGAGCTTG